AACACTTGAGCATCAAAAGTTATCATCCGATCTGTATGAAATTTATATGCATTATTTAAAATAGTTACACCATAAAGGCCACTTGAATTTCAACAAAATCTGTAAAATACTTCTAGAGTTGAGGCTCTTGTTTCAGTTTGTAGAAATTGTGAACACTTAAATGACGAAATTATAATCTAATCTGTGTGAAATTGATATGAATCATTTAAGTTAGTGAAACAAAGAAGCCTATTGAATTCCTGCTGATAATTTGTCCAGTTATGGCACTTGTTTCACTTTGTTGAACCTTGTGAATGCTCAAATGACAAACGTTATCATCTGATCTGTATTGAAAGTTATATGCATTATTTGAAATAATTAAACCAAAAAACCTGTTGAATTTCAACAATTTCTGTAACACATGATATGTATACTTCTAGAGTTGTGGCCCTTGTTTCAGTTTGTAGAACCTTCTGAATGCTCAAATGATGAAAATTATAATCTGATCTGTATGAAATTGACATCAGTGTCTTGTCAATTCCGCCATTATCCAGGCATCCTATCTTTATTGTTCTCTGTTTATCCATCAAATTTAATGTAAAGCATTGGAGATGTACCCAGTCGATCTGCAGTGTTCTGCAACCTTCCATTCTGGAGTTATTCCCCTTTTTCGAAAAATATTGTGAACACAGTAGAAAAGGGGGTGGGGGGAGGGGTCATGATAGGACAAATTCTGTCTATAATCAGCATTCTGTGACTTTTGGTTCCAGAGGTATTCCTCTGTATCATTAAACAATTATCCTATTGCTATTTTTTGTGCGAATTATGATTTACAGTCAGAGGCTCACCCTTCAGTTGTATCTCTCCCACAACTTACAGCCTAACTAAGGCTGAACCTTTACACCAATGTTACTTGAATCTCACCAATCACATGAATTCTCAAATTAATCATTAATCAATCATACTTCATCAGGTAAAATAAAGTCTGTCATTGAGTCGACTGGCGTGGTTTCGAATCCCCGGTTGTACGTGACAAGGAGTAGGGGCGCCTCTCCAACCGTGGGGTTTTCTCCGGGTCCTCCGGTTTCCTCCCACTGCTAAAGACCCCTATGCGCAAGCGAATTATTGAAAGTCAGAGGCTCACCCTTCAGTTGTATCTCTCCCACAACTTACAGCCTAACTAAGGCTGAACCTTTACACCAATGTTACCTGAATCTCACCAATCACATGAATTCTCAAATTAATCATTAATCAATCATACTTCATCAGGTAAAATAAAGTCTGTCATTGAGTCGACTGGCATGGTTTCGAATCCCCGGTTGTACGTGACAAGGAGTAGGGGCGCCTCTCCAACCGTGGGGTTTTCTCCGGGTCCTCCGGTTTCCTCCCACTGCTTAAGACCCCTATGCGCAAGCGAATTATTGAAATAAAATTAAACCATATGTTAGTCCCGAAATGACCTAGTTTGTGTCGAGTGGATGTTAAACCCCAGTTCTCTCTCTCTCTCTCATCAGGTAAATATCCCTTCGCAAAGACACCTATGTGTGTCTCTCTCTTATCCAAATCTCACAGTTCAAACCAAGACCACCAAATTATCACCTGAAGTGTACAGTCGCCCATTACTTACACTTCACCAAACGGTCACCTCGTAAGATCACTTGAAGCTCTTCAATCAAGCAAGACTCAATCTTCACTCTTTAACACAAAGTCAAACGTAAACCTACCCCCCCCCACTCGATTCCTAGTGTTGGCTGAGAATTTCCCCTTGTTAGTCCTGCAGGATAGAGAGCCGTTTAGGACCTCAAAAAGACCAAGGTCCTGTGTACACAACATTTACATAAGAGAACACTGAAGGCGGGCATACAACATGTGCGTCAAGCAATGTCCTATGATGTAAGTTTTGCTCTGACAGCAGTGATACAGTCTACTCTTATTTTAAATTCCAACTGTCAAGGGTACTCAAGATCTTGTCTTGTCTTAAAACCACACCAGAAGATCCTTACAACCTTTCTCCTCCACCAACACCACAGGTTATACCCCCATCAGACTGGGGTGGCATCCTTACTCCGGCGACGGAAAATGGTCTCAGAACGTGTCAAGATCGTCATTAGCGTGGCAAAAGCGTGATGGAAATGCCAGATACATGTATCATGCTGTGGTCTCCAATGATCGCCGAGTCACGGCTTTTGTTTTGAGCATGTTCAAAACAAACGCCAAGATTCTGCGATCTGACCTGGAGGCTGTGAGAAGGCGACTTTTTTCAAGTTTGTAATTTTTTGGGACATTTTCTTGCATTGTGTTCACATTTGCTGGCGACCTTGCACATTTTCTGGTCCCTGTACGGTCGCAGCAGTGTAGTAAGGACACTGACTCAGTCTGACAGGGGCGCTTAAGTAAGTCAATGGCTTATTCACCGAGACACTGTATCACCCATCTCATTCTGTAACCTCAGTAGTGAAAACCCATTCATTAGCACTTACAAAGAGAAAATAAAATGAAATGGGGTTTAACATCCTACTGGGCTAATGAAGACGGAATACAATAACAGACTCGAGGATAGTATATTATTGTCCCTAATATTATTAACCATAGAAAGGGGAATCGAAACCCCCGCCAGTTGACTCAATGACAGACCTTATGATACAGCGCATATATGCTAACCATTCGGCCAACCCCCCCCCCCACCATAATGAAATGAAATGAAATGGGGTTTAACATCCTACTGTTCTGCTCCAATTGGGCTAATGAAGATGGCCATATGCCACACAGTGTGCTTTGAGGTTGAGGGAAATTTCGTGTGGACAATGGTGCTAAGGACTACTCTTATTTTGACTTCAAACTGTCCTTGGTTCTTTTACAATACATACACAGGACCTTGATGCTGTTTCTTGCCAGGACGTCCATCCTGCATCATTGCCAAGGAGAAAACACCAGGACTGAACCAAAAGAAAAGGTACAACTTCTGTTTTGGAAAATATTGCATTGGAATTTATTAAATAAAGAGAGAGAGAGAGATGGGGTTTAACGTCCACTCATTTCGGGACTAACATATGGTTTAATTTTATTTCAACAATTCGCTTGCGCATAGGGGTCTTTAGCAGTGGGAGGACCCGGAGAAAACCCATGAGGTTGGGTTTTTTAAATAAATTTATAAAAATGCTACATCACACCTTTCAGATACAAAAATACCCCATTGAATGTAACAATACAAAATATATTCAAAATTCATGAAATATAAAACATTTTCTATAGAAAAGTTCAACCCAAATATGTTGCATAAGTAGCTCAATTAATGTGCATAAAAAAAAAAAAATAACTCTTTTACAAAATTAAAATACATGATCTCTATTGGTCATATTCCAATATTAATTAAATGTAAATAATGCATAATTCATATAAAGTAACAGTACATAAAATTTAAACTTTACAAATCCAAAATACATAATCCCTGCAAATATTTTCAAAAATAATGCATAATTCACATAAAGTAACAATACATAAAATCCTGATGAACTTTCTCAGCCAAGGCAGAGATTGAACACGTGACCTCCAGGCTAGTGAGCTAGTGTCTTACCCACTTAGCCACTTTGGTTCCTCAAAAGAAATGTCAAAATACAGCATATGTAATTGTAAGTCTTATATAACAAAGTTCTGAAAATACACAATTATAAAAACAATAATCATTGCATTCAATCAACTACATTCTATTTTGTTACTAAAAATTAAAAAAAAATTTGAAGTATATCATTTGGGAAGTGCAGCAACAATAGCTCAACAATGGATTAACATATTAGTCTCAAATTATGCATGATTTTGAATAATCCCCATGTGATAAAATAGGCAAATGAATACAAATCCAAAAAATTACTTCTTATAGTGACCTGCAAAGATTTCCAGAACTCTTATGTCACTTTAAGGTTAAACTTTTCATTGAAAGTCTTGCAAAGCAAGATATCTAAAAATATCAACAAAAAAAACAAAAGCAAAACATACATATCATAGGTAAGGAGTCCAAAGGTCATATCTGGGTTTTGCGAAATTGTCCAGGAAAGCCAGAAATAGCTCAGAGGTTAAGAATCAAAATGTCTTATAAAACTGTTGTAGTTAATCAAAGTAGGTGTATGGACGGTATAACACAATAAATACGTTGATCACTTAATTACCTAATTAATCCAGCCTATTATCAACAATAATCGGGTTGAGTTGTAGTTACACTCAGTACACTATATTAATTTTGGAATTTTTAATATTATTCACCATGTTTTGATGTCTGATTGGGCACATTCCTGGTCGGACAGTTTAGGACGTTTGGAAAATAGCATCGGACATGTCCGGAATATACGGGTGAAATCCCATCTCTGGTTGTATGTAAAATAACGTATGTAGGTGTAACCATTTAAACAGTATGTAGCTATCTAAATACATTTATATCGATCTAAACATCTAGTGCAGAAATAAGAAGTGAAAGCTAGTTATATGCAATTTATACAACAAAGACATACTGTATTCTGGGAAAAACTTCACCTTTACATGCTTCAATTTCATAGATTTCACACAATAATAGAGACTTAACAATAATTTCAATACTAGGGCCTACCTACATGTACATGTATTTAGCCATAAACCAATACATGTACTGGCTATAATTCATTTGTTTCTAATACTTTAGTTAAACTGAAAGTTGATTTTTCCATGGAAATACAATATTTTTGCTCTCAATTAATTTTTTTTAGAAATGTGACATTTTTGAAACAATATCTATAAAACCTCTTTTTATAGAAATACGACAACTAGATGAAAAGATGCACAAGAAACTTCTCATTCTGAAAAAGCAAAAAAGAGAATTTCGCAAAATGTGCCAGACATGACCTTATGACTCCCTGTGTTATGATAAATGAAAGAGAGAGAGAAATGGGGTTTAACGTTCACTCGACACAAACTAGGTCATTTCAGGACTAACATTTGGTTCTATTTTATTTCAATAATTCGGTAGCAGTAAGAGGAGACCGGAGGACCCGGAGGACCCAGAGAAAACCCCACGAGGTTGGACATGCGACCCTAATCCTTGTCATGTACAACCGGGGAATCAAAACCTTGCCAGTTGACTCAATGACAGACCTTATGATACAGCGCACATGCTAACCATTCCGCCATCCAACCCCCCTGATAAATGAAATGACTACATATTCGTGCAACATGATGAATGAACTTTCATGTGAAGTTTCAGTTTACGTTTTGCATTAAAGGCCTTATAACAAAATTCACATTCAAATGGGTTTTCTTTAGAATGGGTTACCATGTGTTGGTTTAAATTACTTTTATCAGCAAATGTTTTACTACAAACATCACATTTAAATGGTTTCACACCAGAATGAACGAGCACATGTCTGGTAAGATTACCTCGAGCAATAAATGATTTACTACAAAGATGGCATTTATATGGTCTGTTTCCTGTATGAGTTCTAACATGCACCTCTAAATTACCAGTGCTTGTAAATGTTTTGTCACAATCATCACATTTGTAAGGTTTTACGTCGTGCTTTTTGATCTGGTGCTTACGCAACCGACAACTCCGTAAAAATGACTCATTGCAAAACTCGCATTTAAAAGGTTTCGGTTTGGAATGGCTTTTCATGTGGTTTTGCAAACATCTCGGAAGAATAAAAGTTTTACTACAAAGTTCACATTTATATGGCTTTGCTCCGGTATGAGTTACAATGTGTCTATTAAGATCACTAACCTTCCGAAATGATTGCTCACATACATTACATTTTAGGGACGGTTCTCCGTGATTCTCCTTTACGTGTTTTGATAAACCGCTTGGTTGAGAGAATGACTTGTTACAAACTTCGCACTTGAAAGGATCGTCTTTAATATGGAACATCATGTGGTTTTTAAGAAGTTGGCTGGTGCAAAATGTCCTATCACAGACATGGCATTTATAGGGTTTGTAATCTGAATGGGTGTAGATGTGACCTTTGTAAGAAGATCTCGATGCGAAAACTTTACCACAAATATCACATACAAACGATTTGCGTTTTCTTGTATGAGTTCTCATATGTTCCGTTAACTTGGTGGGATGGCCAAATAATTTCCCACATATCTTGCATTCCAAATGTTTCTCTGTGATATGAATTATGGAATGCATATCTCGAAGCTTTGCATTATAGAAGGCTTTACCACAAACATCACATTTAAAACCCTTTACATCGCTATGAGTCAAAATGTGATTTTTGAGATGAGTCAATGCTGCATAGGCTTTACCACAAATATCACATTTGTAATTTTTCTCACCTGTATGAATTTTCAAATGAACTACAAGTTTACGTTTCGAATTAAATGACTTGCCACATATGTCGCAGGTAAACTTTTTTTCTTCCGTATGAACGACCATATGTATAGTTAGATTGCCCTTTTCTGCAAACGATTTATCACATTTGGTACATTTATAAGGTTTTTCACCCGTATGAATTCTCTTATGTTTAGTCAGATTAGTCTTTGTATAAAATGATTTATCACAAACATCACATTCAAATGGTTTTATTTCTGAATGGAATTTGCTGTGGTTCTGTAGTTGAGTGTTCGTACAAAATTGTTTTTGACAAACATCACAAGAAATATCTTTGATCCTACCAGAAAGGTGCCTTTCTAGTTGGATATGGTTATAGTATTTTTTACTGCATATAGAACATTTAAACAACTTCGTTTCTGTATGAGTTTTCATATGTGATTTGAGTCCACCTTGTCTACCAAAGACCCTATTACAGATGCTACATTTATGACATGTGTCTTCACTGTGAGTATTCAGATGGAGTTGGAGGATACACTTTTGTTTATATCTCCTCCCACAAATGTTACACTCAAAAGGTCTTTTTCCAGAATGAGTCTTGATGTGGGCCTGGAGCTGATGTTTTTTTAAGGATTTCCCACAAAAATCACAAACACAGTCTTGATCCTTTTGAACATCCACTACTAAGTTTAGATTTTCCTGACTAGCAAATGACTTGTCACAAACATCATTTTTAACAGATTTTGCTTCTGTAAGAATGCCAGGCTCACCAAGAGTACCACCAAAATCTGTTTTATGTTCTTTATAGTTTAATTCATTACATTTATTACTAAGATCAATTTGGGATGATTCTTTGTCTGGTAAATCGGACTCTTCCTCCACAGGTACTTGTACATTATCATTTGTCTCTAATTTCAGATCTTTATTAACAGATATATCTTGTATTCTCCTTGTTTCTAAATCATCTATTTCATTCAACTCATTGGTTCCAGCAACATCAGCACCACCATGGTCACCAGTATTATCCCCCTCACGGTCAGCATCATTGGCATTAAATCCACTATGATCTTTTTCTATATGTAGATGGCGATGTTGTTCTGTGTTAGAGGCAGCAGAATTACTTCCCTTCAATAAAAAAAAAGATAAATGAATGTTTTGTTTAATTTCTGGCTTTTCTGTTATTTTAAATTTCAGACGCTTTTTTTAAAATTATTTCCCTTGAACATAAATTTTTAATGTCCCTGCTAATCAACAACCAAAAACTCTTTCTGTGCCAGCTATAAGATTTCCACACCCTAGCCATTGTAAAATCCAACAGCTAATTTGTTATACAATTATTACAATAAGGATTCCTAGAAATCTTTCTGGTATGCTTTGGAATTGTTAATCTGTTTCACATACAAGTTACCCGATTGAAAAGTAATATGGCAGGCGAGTTGGTTTCATTTGGTTCACTCATTTTTATTTTCTTTGTTCTTGAAAGTTATTAACAAAAATCAAGAAGAAATTAGCATTCTTTGAGAGATTTAATGCTCATCTTGAGTTAGCAGTCTCATCAAGTAACTGGAGGAGCGTGTGCCTAAAGCAACGACTGTAAGTTTTACACCATCTAGACGGTGCTAGACCGCTCTACAATCCCCCTACCAAAAGTTATACTGTAGCTACGTTATCTCACTTTAACAGAGACACGAGAATGAGAATGACAGCGCCCAATCAGAGGTTGTGACACAAACACACACAAATCAAAAGAAATGAAATGAAATGGGGTTTAACGTCCTACTGTTTTGCTCCTAAACTGGGCCAATGAAGACGGGCATACGCCATACAGTGTGCTATGAGGGAAATTTTTGCCCGGGCAGCGGCGCTACGGCCTACTCTTATATCGAATTCCAACTGCCAAGGGATCTTTTACGTGCACGCCTATTGAAAATTTGGATGAACTTTCTCGGCCAATGCAGGGATCGAACACCCGACCTCCAGGCTAGCCACATGATCCCCCCACAAATCAAACATGGCAACCTACATGTACATGGAAACCTTGACATTGAATGAACCTCGAACTTTGCAAGATAATTATTGCAAGTAGATATTTTAGCTGGAAAGCGCGAGACTTGGAATTCGCACTGATCGAGGAATCTGATAGGCTATCCAGCTGGGTCAATAGCCAATCAAAATTAGTATCGAAAAAAATTCATAGATTATGACATTGTGAAGGCCTTGATAAGATGTACAGAATTCCAGCAAGGACAATCCTCCTATTGAAAATGCCGGAGGAGATGAATCGAATAGTCATCACAAAAACTCAGGTATCTTGTTATAAATTATTCTGTTTATTACTCAACACTGCTCAAGAAAGTAAACAGCTGTTAACCCAATAAAACATTATCTAATCTAGACAGACCTTTTTGAACTATGTGACAGTAGGAAACCAATATTTTTTGATGATATTTAAAGAATTTAAACTATTTTCCAACAATAGTTTGAAACTACATTGTAAACATTAAATACAGAAACAGTACAACTGCACGATCCCTGAGTTGTAGTACATAAAAAGCTTGTATTGCTTGTATTACAGAGAGATAGAGAGAGATGGGGTTTAACGTCCACTCGACATAAACTAGGTCATTTCGGGACTAACATATGGTTTAATTTTATTTCAATAATTCGCATGCGCGTAGGGGTCTTTAGCCGTGGGAGGAACCGGAGGACCCGGAGAAAACCCATGAGGTTGGACAGGCGACCCTACTCCTTGTCACGTACAACCGGGGATTCAAAACCACGCCAGTTGACTCAATGACAGGCTTTATGATACAGCGTGCACATGCTAACCATTCGGCCATTCAACCCCCCCTGCTTGTATTACAAGGTTGTGTGAAAAAGAGTGATTGTAAATACTGATGCATGCGAAGAAAACTTTTTACGCCATGGTTCCTAGACTACCCCTCGCTTCTGTTTCTGTGGTCTGTCGTCCGGACTGGAACCATTCACAGAATGGAATGCTTAAGTTCTCTGAATCGCCCCTGGCATGTTTAAAAAGATCTTTAATTAGCTGAACAAATATACAGTACTTTATGTACGATTAAGAAGACAAATACAAACAACTTTCACTTACATTGATACTGTTCAACACTGCACTGGTCAAATCATTTATTTCTTCCTCTTTCTGAGACAAAGACTTTACAGGTGCATGGATGAAGCAATGACGATTCAAACAACTCTGTGATTCAAACGTTTCATCACAAGCATCACACTGGAAAGGTTCTTCTCCGCTGTGTATTAAGGAATGATATTTGAGGTGAGTTGCTGTAGGAAATATTTGCCTACATACGATACATGTATGTTCCTTAGGTCCAGTATGAACTTTCTGGTGACTCTGAAGAAGATGATTCGTCTTAAAACATCTGCCACAAAAACGACATGTGAAGGGCGTTTCATCAGAATGAATAGCCATGTGCTGATTTCGATTGCCTTTGGCAGCAAATGATTTATTACAAACATCACATTTATATGGTTTCACGCCTGTATGGACCCTCAAATGTGAATCTAAACTATTACTGTGCTTAAAGGATTTACTACATATATCACATTTAAACTTTTTCGTAACAACATTTTTCAAAACTTCACTAGTTATACCATTTATTTCCGCCTCTATTAGAGAAAAGTACTTAGAAGATGAATGGGTAGTACAATGCCGTTTCAAATAACTTTGAGTTGAAAAATATTTATTACAAATATCACACTTGAAAGGTTTTTCACCCGTATGAATTCTCATATGAATTTGAAAAGCAGAATTACTGAGAAATTTCTTGCTGCATACGCTACATTTAAAACCCTTTCCTTTAATATGAATTCTGGAGTGTTGCCTTAGAAATCCAATGGTAATGAATGAACTATTACAAATATCACATTTGAAAGGTGTTTCACCTGTATGCCTCAAGTAGTGCATTCTGAGACTAACTGCATAAGCAAATGCACTACCACAAATATCACATTTGTAATTCTTCTCTCTTGTATGAATTTTCCTATGAACTACAAGTTTATGTTTAACATTAAATGACTTGCCACAAACATCACAGGTAAATGTTTTACCTACTATATGAACGGCCATGTGCTTCTGAACATTCCCTGCACGTGAAAATGATTTACTACAAACATTACATTTAAAAGGCTTGTCTCCCGTATGTACTCTGATGTGCGTGTCACGATTAGACTTATAAGTAAATGACTTTTCACAAACATCACATTTATAAGGTCTTACTTCATCAGAGTGACTCATGATGTGTTCCTTGAGAGTACTTTTATCACAGAATGTTTTAAGACACATATTGCATTTTAACGAATTCCCTGTGATTTCATCTTCTTTGTGCTGTGCATCAAGATGTCGTTCCAGTTGACTCTGACTAAAAAATTTAGCCCTACACACAAAACATTTATAACTTTTCTCTTCCTTGTGAATTTTTATGTGATAATTGCGAGCTCCTTTTGTTGGAAATGATTTAAAACAGATTTCACAATTAAAAGATTTTTGTCTAGAAACAGTATGTGTCACTTGATGTGTCATGAGACCATTTGAGGACTTGAAGCATTTATCACATTCACTGCACTGATAATTTCTCTCTTCAGAATGAACTCGTTCGTGTTCCTTAAGTTCTAACTTTCTTTTAAATGATTTGCCACAAAAATCACATGTAGGCCTTCTTGGTTTTAATTCTGTATGAATTATCATATGTTTCTTTAAATTGCCCTTAATCTTAAATGCTTTGCTACAAACATTACATGTATAAGGTTTTTCACCAGTATGAATTCTGATGTGGTTGTTTAGATGAGTAGTCCTTTTAAATGATTTATTACAAACATCACATTTAAAACATTTTCCTCCTTTTTCAATTTTAGGATTAACACTGCCATCATCATTATCTGTTTTTTCTTCTTTAACTTGTGTGGTACATTGTTGTAAAGGTATCTCTTCTGTACAGGTAGGCCTACTACTACAGTCTTGTAAAGTGCATGCTATTGATACCTCTTCTGTAGCAGTACTAGTACCGCCTTGTAAATTATTTGACACTGATATTGATGTATCTTCAGTACCGGTAGGCCTACTAGCACAGTCTTGTAAAGTACTTGGTAATGATGCCTCTGCTTTACCTGAACTGCATGTAGTAAACTCTTGTAAAATACTTGGTATTGCTGGCTCTTCTTTAACTGAACTAGTCAGGTCTTGTAAAGTACTGGGTAATGGTTCCTCTTGCTTAACTGAATTAGTCAGGTCTTGTAAAGTACTGGGTAAAAGTTCTTCTTGTTTAACTGAACTAGTACACTGTGGTGAAGTACTTGCTGTAGACTGCTCTTCTATAACTGAAATAGCATATTGTTGTAAAGTATGTGGCTCTTCTTTAACATGTATTTTACAATGTGTCTCCAAGTCGGTGTATAATTCAAATTTATCATCACACACATTACACTGGTAAAATGGTTGATCATCAACTGAATCCATTTCCTGAAATACAATAATTGTGGTATAATTATATACCGGTATCTGAAATGACAGGCTGATTTTTTTTTTTGAAGTCGGCTTTTGTCAATCTTTGAGCCAATAATTTCTGTGTAATGTTTATTGAATGTAATAATAATAACTTTATACATAAATTAAAACAAAAATTCGGGAATTAGTTTTTGTAATAAACTAATAATTGTGAAGTAAGCATTATACAATGAATGGTAGTAAAATAAAGCTGATGTTTACTTCCTAAATCACAATCAAAGGCAAGCTATCCCAAACTGATCATTACTATCAAAATTTGGCATCAATTAATGTGACAGGATTTAACAAGTCAAGGACAGGTTCAATTTCATTGAGTTCTAAGCAAAATATAGTACAGGATCCGAAATAGCTACATGTATTAGAAAAAAAAGATTTTTATAGATACAATACATGTAGTACATACATGTACAACTTCAAAATAGATGGCCTGGCAAGTGGCAACATAATATAGCCATTTGGATTGGGAAGAAAACAGAGGTCCTGTGTACACATTGGTGAACACATTGGCGTGCAAGTAAAAGATACCTTGGCAGTTGGAATTTGATATAAGAGTATAATATAGCTACATGTAGTAGTGCCACCGTCTGGGTAAAATTTTCCTCATAGCACACTGTATTGCAGTAAACCCAATGCCATTTTATTTTCTTAACTTTGGTTATTATAAACTTACCTGTGTGTTTGAAATCACCTCCCATTAAATAAAATTCATTGTACAAGTGCTTTGTTCATAAACGATGAAATCTGTTTAAAATTTACGATGGTTCAGACACTCAGTAGGTGCAAGTTCTTTCATCCCAAAACACTAAACAGTTGTATCCGGTCCCAGCTACGGTTTCTATCACCTCAACCAGCTTATTCCCTGGGATGATTTATTTTGAAGTAAACCAGTGAAATTTGAGTCAACCACATCAGCAATATATATCGAGGAGTTTGTACTGCTTTCTTTACTGTTTTGGGGACACAAATTTTATGAGAAAAATTAACTCACAATGCAGAGTTCTAGCGGCTAAGAAAAAAACCCCAAAACGAACAAAGGCCAGGAAAAAATTTCAGATTCACACCTCCATCTTGAATTTACCAATTAGTTGAGTGTACATAAATTGTGGACTGGAACATATTTGACCCGAATAACCCACATTGCGAGATACAGTGGTCGGGATTGGGTGGGGTGAATATAATGTCTTATATTGGGTGGAAATGTGATAATGTTGATTATCATATTATAGCACTTTACAGATCTAAATAAAGTTTATAGGAACCTGTTGGATTACTCTTTTGTTTGGGGTCCGGGAAGGGAGAGTGTTGTAGGCGGTTGGTTCGACGCTTATTACTGGCGGGTGATGTGATAACGTTGATAAAAATAATAGATGATGATCATATATAGATTAATAAAACATTAATTTATATCGCTGTACATCTGTAAAGACGTGTATACAATGCCATTGTTTCGCTTTGTGAGGGTATGGCAGAGTCAGCAAAGTAAAGGTAAGTTTATTGCCTAAAAACACCCACGGGGAGCAGCATAGAATTACAAAATGAAAGAAAAATCACACTAGAACAAACATACATAAATTGAACATAATGCCTAATTCAATCTTATAAAGTACGCTCACAACAAAAGAAAGAAAATAAACAGGACTTGAATATATAGGAATACATGTACAATATATTAGAACATTCAAATATATTTAGTGATATATAAGGTTAGGCGTGTGTATGTAAAAGGGTGGGGGGCTCAAATTTGCGGTGACCTTGATAATGCTGATACAAATGATTATCATTAGTAAAACATTAATTTCTTCAACACTATAAGCGTATAAAATAACTGTGAATCTGTAACATGGTATGTAAGTTTGTGGGGGGGGGGGGGGGGCGTGAGGAAAGATGGTGGTGGTGGTGATGGTGGGGGGGGGGGGGATGCCTAAAATTGGCTAGGTTGCCCTTTGAATAACTCTATAGCCTCGCCGGAGGAGAATTCATTGCTTATACAGGACGGTGTTGTCTTTGGTCCTGTTCATTTATTATGAATATAGAATTCTAATTTAATTTTCAGATTATCCACCCACGTCTTTTTCCGTGTTTCTTTTATCTCAAAATATCTTGAATGTTTAAGCTCACCATCAAATTTATAAATATGTACATCAAGCGCTCGCTAACGCTGAGAGATCACACAATCTTCGAGTGCAACCTTTGACGTCACTCGAGCAGACATCCATAATCGTCGGGTTGTCGGTTAGAGACACCCTTACATTTTTGTCCTGTATGCACTCCATAGGTGTTTTTCAGGGAATCCATTATTTCTCTGGTAAGATTGGATGTTTTTAATTTCCATATATACTAAAATTGCCATACCTTTATTGGAAATAACCACCCGATAAATACTTTTGTGGCAAAGTATCTTTAATTTTTACTTTTGTGCGTTAGTAGGGTTTAATGAATCCGAGTGGGAATTGTATATACAACCTGACCAACTTCCGACATATGAAATTTCGCGCATGCTCAGACATTTAGTTGCTTTTTGGAAATGAAAAGAAGGTGTTTCTGCATATTTTTTATTTACGAAAGTTAAATGGTAATAATAACTTAATTATCCATGCATTACAGACGTAGAATAAATAATGGCGAACATATTGACGTGAAAGTTTCACTAGGCCTAGATTCATGTGTTTGCTGATATTATTTTGTTATTACAAAGAAATCAATGGGGGGATGCATGAAAAATACGATGATACTATTGATACGAGGAGTAGGACAATGCTACTAGAAAAATTGTTTTAATATGAGAAATAAGTTTTAATATTAGCATATATTCGGCCCCACGTACAACCAAAACAGTCCATAGATTTACCCAAAATAACACATTTTTATTTTTATGATTTTTTTATGTGTAGTACCGGTAGGTGATTAATATTCCCTAAACTTTACTCTTTTATTATAATAGTACTGAAAAAATGGAAGATCAAAGCAAGAAAGACAACTCTTTATCATTGTAATGGATTCAGGATGGTTCACCCCAAAACCCTTTCACCCTGGGCTCTTTCATCCCAACCAATCTTTTGATGGAGTTGATTCACTTTATCATACATATCGTAATTACAGTTTATGTGGATAGCGTAAATAATAGAGATTAAAACACAATGTAGTAAATATTGTAACATACACAACTCAACTCATATGTACACAAACTGTCTTAGAATTTTTTAGTTGTTTCGTTATCGTAGTCGTTTACTTTGTCTTGGTTTTGCTGCTACTTTCTTTGCCTTGCATGATAGGCCTACTGAATAATCACACACTGTAGCTATAATGGTATCAGTATTACTTTTTGCGTGTATATATTGCCAGTTACAAAATTTTGAAAATAAATTACCCACTAAAAATGACAATAAGAGTTGTCTTTTTTGCTTTGATCTTCCATTTATTTCCATTTTTTTTTCAGAACTAATAACAAAGTTTAGGGAATATTAATCACATACACACATACATGTAACTAGAAAGAATAAACAATAAAAATGTGTTGTTTTATTCAAAATACTGGTTGTTTTGGGTAAATCTATGGACCCCCAGAAAAAACCTAATTGACCAGTCCATAGATTCACCCCAAAAAACTTTAATTACACAAAACAACTTGTATTTGGAAGAAAACAACACATTTGTACAATCTTTTCTTTATTTTTATATGGTGATTAATATTCCATTAACTTTAATCTTTTTTAATAGTTCTGAAAAAAAATAAGGATATAAATGGAAGATCAAAGCAAGAAAGACAACTCATATTGTTATCGTAGTAGGTTTGGGTTGTCTTATCACAAGCTGTTTCATCCCAACCCAAGCATAAAGATATCTGGGGGGTTGGATGGCCGAATGGTTAGCACGTGCGCGCTGTATCATACGGTCTGTCATTGAGTCAACTGGTGGAGTTTCGATTCCCTGGTTGTACGTGACAAGGAGTAGGGTCGCCTGTCCAACCTCGTGGGTTTTCTCCGGGTCCTCCGGTTTCCTCCCACTGCTAAAGACCCCTACGCGCAAGCGAATGATTGAAATAAAATTAAACCATGTGTTAGTCCCGAAATGACCTAGTTGGTGTCGAGTGGACATTAAACCCCATTTCTCTCTCTCTCTCATAAAGATATCTGAGAATTAAACACTGGACATATTTACTAAGTTTTACAGTAAAATATTTTGCCAAATATTTTATTCAATATTTATTTCCACTCAACACCGTTATTTGGTTTGTTTTGGGTACATCTATGGACACCTAATTCATGTTTATGTATATCTGCAGCTTTGTTTTGATTTTTGCTGTGAGTGACGACAAGCACGACATTGGTTGTGATCCCTATTGAAACTGAACACTGCATCCTGTTAGTTTGTCTAACTGGAAGAAGAGACATGGTCAGTTGCGTTGCTTGGGGATGTACTAATAACACCAACAAGTCTAAATCTGGAAGCATGTGTCATTTTTTTCAATTTCCAAGAGAGGCAACACGCAGAACAGCCTGGACGCAGCGATGTCAACGAGGAGAGAAGGGCTGGTCTCCATCGAAACATGCTCGTCTTTGTTCGGAGCATTTCGAGTTATCTGCGTACGAACGAGATCCTGCTCGATTGAAGAAATTGGGATATGAAAATGCTAGAGTGAAACTCAAGCCAGATGCTGTGCCAACATTGTTCCTGAAGAAAACATTTGTTGCTAATTTTGACAATGCAACTGCGACACAAGGGTCTCACAGGAAGCAACGGGCAACCAAGGTAAGTATTTATAGAACACAATTTTTATGGGAAACAATCACTGGTTTATTCTAAAAGCATGACGTTTCGACAAGTATCCTCTTATCGTTATCAAGCACAAAGGTAAGTATTACTGACCAGTGAAATTTTAATAATATTATTTTGATCAAGATACATGTATCTTTCTATAGATATATGTATGTTCTACCCTGTGTACACAGACTGCAAATTTTCGGACACACGGCAAACAAGGAGAATCCAGGTGAATTCTCCATACCAACTGTAACCAAGGCATCACCAGCAGGGCTGTCGGTAATTTTTTGCAGTTGATTAGCAGCACTGCTAAAAGTCCAATTTTGCCAAATTTGATTAGCAAATTTAAAAACTGATTAGCAGTTTTTCAGTTTCAACATAAAACACCTAAATAACAAGATATTACTTTAATTCATAACAAATATGATTAGATTCTGTTCTTAGATTTTTTTTAGCACTGCCACAAGTACTTGTGACAGTTTGTGAATGTGATGTAGACATTTAGTTAGGTCTTGTGTCTGAAGCCAATTCTTGGCAGTGACTTCCGAAACCCCACTCATTTTAATTGTTATATTTTTTGTTACGTTAGTTTTCTTCGTTAGAAAACAATTTCGTCTGCTTTTTACCATGTATTAATATTTTTGTTCAATCAGGCGCACCTCGATTAACTAGACACACACGATATAAACAATAATATTTTACGGGAATTTTTACTTTGATTTATCATTTTACAATAACATGTATTTATTTTTTTATATTTTATTTACAATACCTGAGGGATACAGTGAATTTATTTCTTTCAAAATGAATATTGATATAATTACTTGAAATTGACATACCTCGCAACGTGAGTGGTACTACATGATTCCCTATTTCCGGTTTAATAGTCCCTATTCATAGAGTTATGTCCCTGTATTATATAGAAAATGAATTGTGTCTGGGTAGTTCGAGTAGGAGGTCATACAGAGAATTAAGTTTTGTTTATAAAATTTTATTCAACATTTTATACACGTTGAAAGTGTTGAGAAAGCCTTCTAGTCTTCAAAATGTGGATTATCCTTGTGTCAATATCAAAAATGTCAGGCATATTAATGATTCGCAGTTACTACGAATTAAAAACGTTAGATTTTAATTTTTGATTAGCAACAAACAAAATATGTATCGCAAATTGAGCTGCGATACTGGTTGTCGGCAGCCCTGATCACCAGGTATTACCGTCCCTACACCTACATGTACTCTGTTATACATACAAGTATGATTCCAGAACCGGTGAACTTTATTTGTGTACATTTATATCACTGCCTCAATAAGGGGATGTGGCAAGTGACTGTGACAGTAGGAATAGAATGAAAATAATAAATTGTACAACCAAATTCCGCAGCCACTTACAAGATCTTTCAAGCTGTTTGTGACGGAAGGTCTAGATACCAAATTACAGTCTAGATACTGTCAGAGTGGAAAGTATAAGAAGAACTTTAAGTTGATGATTGAGTTAAATTTAGGTGATCAATATAGGAACACCAGTAAATGGAATACTCAAACTTGTCGTCTTATCTCTTTTTTGCATTGTTGGAAGCGATAAAAGTAATATATGGCACAAGGACTCATGGCCGTGCATCATTGAAGCCACTGTTCGAGTCAGATTCTTCTGGGAAGGCTTGTCATATTTTTTTAACAACACACGAATGATGTACTTTTCTACACTTCTTTGGAAGCCGCTGCTGTACATGTATGAGTCATGCAAATTGTTGATAGGCACAGTAGCGGTAGGTCTTTTCTTTTATTGCTTTTGTGTCTTGTGGACACAGTATTGGAAAGTAATATAAGGAAAAGAGGGATTGTTTGCCAGGAACTACAGGTAGGAACGGTTAAGCCCATCCCATCTTCCAAGAAATTGGAGGTAATACAATGGGGTTTAGCGTTCTACTTTTCTGCACTGACTGGGCTAATAAAGATGGGTATACACTAGGCACTGTGCTATGAAGGAAATTTTGCCCGAATAACAACAAATTCTTTATTTCAAATTTCAACTGTCAATAGTTCTTTATGTGTACACCAATATGCTAACGGGACCCAAGTTTTCCATCCCATCCGAATGGCTAGTCACTGTTCCTTGCCAGGTCCTCCATTCTAAACCACTGACAAGGGAAAAGCCGTCGCGGAAAATTGTGTTGAACTTTCTCGGTATCAAACCTGGGCATTGCAGTTCCATATACATGTATGCTATTCTTCGGCACCGAGAAATGGACACAAATAGGTCACAACACATATCATAATGTAATATAAATGTATATAAACTGATCTACATTCAATCGTTTCTGTTTTTACTCTAATTTCTAATCCGTTGTCTTCAGCGAAATACGTGAAGAATGCAAATTGAATGGCAAGTCTTTGCCGTCTGGCTATTCCAGTTTCGTTCATCAAGTCGAAAGCATTCTGGCATGTGATTCACGTGCCAAGTTTAAAATTTTCATTTTGCCTTAAATATTGGATACCAGAAGTCCATCTTTTCACGGTAAGATCACAACATCAATGTTGATTTAAAGTAGCTAAGTCTCTAACTCAATATCATCCAAAATCTTACACGTTGAAAATACGAATTATTTGTCAATTCAAATCAACATTGATGTTGTGATCTTACCAGGAAAAGGCAGGCTTCTGATATCCAATATTTAAGACAAAATAAACATTTTACCATTGGTACACGAATCGTGTACCATAGTGCGTTTTAGCGTCATTTGCAGCAAGTGACCAGAAAGAACGAGGCTAGACATATTCAACAGGAGAGTCTGCTTAATAGACTGGAATAACCAGACGCTAGAAATTGCTATAGGGTTGAGACACATGCTGTATTTCGCTGGACATAACTGATTTGAAATTAGAGTCAAAAAGGAAACAATTGAATGTAAATCAGTTTATATACAATCAGATTACATTATTATATGCGTTTCGACCAATTTGGGTCAATTTCTAGGTCCCAAATATTAGCGATTTAGCTCCTTTAAATTGACCAATATGTCATGTTTGCAATGTCGAAGACTGTGGCTGGTACTTAGTTAAAGACTTGACTACTTTAAATTATGTCACTTCATGATTTTTAGTTCATCACTTACAAGGTACTGTATAATTATTCACAATATTATTGACATTAGGAAAAATTTAGTGTGCAGTACTCACCTGGGTTGTGACTGACCCATGTATTTAACCATTTGTGGTACCTACGCTCGACCTTCCATTCATTTCCCTTTTTTTTTTTTGAGAACCATTAAAAAAAGTTTAGGGAACATTAATCACCTGTACACACAAAAATAAAGAAAAGACATCATAAAAATGTGTTGTTTTCTTCCAAATACAGGTTGTTTTGGGTAATTAAAGTTGTTTTGGGTGAATCTACTAACTGGTCAATTAGGTTTTTTTTGGCAGCCCATAGATTTACCCAAAACAACCCAATTAAAATTGTTTTGGATAAATCTATGGACAGCTAAGAAACTTGATCCAGGCCTCAAAATACAAAAAAAAAAATAAACAACTTTTACTATAGCATTCTTCTTTAAAGGTAGCAAAGAAATCTCATCCAGACCTTGAAATAGAGAGACAGAGAGAGATGGGGTTTAACGTCCACTCGACACAAACTAGGTCATTTTGGGACTAATATTTGGTTTAATTTTATTTCAATAATTCGCTTGCACGTAGGGGTCTTTAGCAGTGGGAGGAAACCGGAGGACCCGGAGAAAACCCACGAGGTTGGACAGGCGACCCTACTCCTTGTCACGTACAACCGGGGATTCGAAACCACGCCAGTCGACTCAATGACAAACTTTATGATACAGCGCGCGCACGCTAACCATTCAGCCATCCAACCCCCCCACCTTGAAATAAGAAAAAAAATCTACCTGTTGCTTTTCATACATTTCGCTTCACTAACTAACCTGTGACTCATAATTTTCCGAATCACATATTGTCCACATTATTCACATATGTAGGTACACAAATACGCTTGAATTGTTTTGGTCCTTGTTTTAATCCATATGAATATCGTGATATAAAACAGTTTTATTTCTTTGACATCAATCAGCAGGACTAAAAATTATCGCAAATCCCTGAATCATCTACTGGAAGATTAATCCAATTCCATGTTTTGAACTGACGTGGTTTCTGCCAAGTAAAACAATTTGATTTAAAGGCCAGTGAGTTCCATTGAGAATTGTAAGAATTCAGATTCTAAATTATCCGTAATAAAATTAGTATCAAAACACAACTTTTCACCTGTATATGACAATATTCTAATATTAACCATGTGTAGTAAAGGACAGCTGAACAGGCGAACATTTCGAACCCTGCTCATATAGAATAAAAAAAATAATCTGTTCTAAACATACATTATGCAAGAGCTAAATTAGGCCTGAAATGTTATCTAAATTATTAATTAGACATTAATTAACTTATCCAGACCATAATCAACTCTTGATGGCATCGCTAGGCTGCGATGTTTACTTGATTAGAACCTGGCCTGCTGCTTCTGATTAAATCAAAAAGTGGATAATCGAGACTTATTTTTTTTTATCGTACCGACTTTGAGAACTGCCAGCTCTTTATCTAATCTTCCATAATGTATCTTTAAGATTACTTTAACAATCGAAGTAATGGGCGTCTATAAAGGACTTTATGAAACTCAAACTCTTGATAAACTGTATTTTTTATTTCAGGAAACTAATGATGTTAAAACTTTTCATCAGTGTATAGTATGTGATGATATTTTTCATAAGTATAGTGACTTGGAAAACCACAATAAAATCCATGTTAAAGAAGAGGAAACTGATGATGATGGTTTAGATTCTGAAGGACATGCTGAAATTACCTTAGATCAAAGTGCTGATGTAAATGTTAAAAAAGAAAAAACTAATGATGTTGAATTAGATAAAAAATTTAAAGAAGAGAAAACTGATAATTTTAGCATAGACCAAACTTCTGATGTTAAAAAAGATCAAATAAATAATGTTGAAACATTCCATCAGTGTCGACTGTGTGGTGATACATTTGGATTATACACCGACTTAGAGACACATTGTAAAATACATGTTAAAGAAGAACAGTCTACAGCAAGTACTTCATATCGGAATATAGTCTGTGAAGACAGTTTTAACGTAGACACTGAATTAGGGATTCATATTTCAGCACACCATGGAACATTTATTCCTAATGAAAAACAAAATACAGATATTTCTATTCCTCATCTGTCTGATGAAGAACAATCGCCACAAAAGGGGACATCTTTGTCAAAAGATTTACATGTAAACCAAGAAATCAAGTCATTATTTAAATGTAGTGTTTGCAGTAAATCATTTAACAAAAACAGTAATTTACAGGTTCATCTACGAATACATACTGGCGTAAAACCTTATAAATGTGATGTTTGTGATAAATCATTTATTCTTAATGGTCACCTACAGAGACACACCAGAACTCACACGGGGGAAAAACCCTTTCAGTGTAATTTGTGTAGTAAATCATTTTCTAGACATTGTTCACTTAATAAACATACAGTAACCCATACACGAGAGAAAATGTTCAAATGCCACATTTGCTGCAAAGCATTTACCCAAAATGGTACTCTTCAAAATCACATTAAAATTCACACCGGGGAGCAAACCTATAGATGTGATTTATGTGGTAAATTATTTTCAACAGTCAGTGACTTTAATAGACATTGTAGAACCCACACAGGTGAAAAGCCTTATAGATGTGATGTTTGTGGATCGTTTTTTACGCAAAAAAGTACGCTACAGATGCATTTTCGAACTCATACAGGCGAAAAACCCTTTCAGTGTAGTTATTGTCTTAAATCATTTTCTTTGAAAAACATGCTCACGAGACATGTCCGCTTACATACTGGTGAAAAACCGTATACATGTGATGTTTGTAATAAATCATTTAGTTTATTATCTAATTTAAAGCTGCATGCCAGAATTCACACTCAAGAGAAACCCTACAAATGTTCTATCTGCCATACACTGTTTCGACAAAGCAATAATTTAAAGAGACATCTCAAAATTCATAGCTCAGGTAAAGAAAAGCCATTTAATTGTGATCTGTGTACTAAGTCCTTTAGTCAGAAACGTTGCCTCCAGTTTCATTGTAAAACTAAACATGGAAAAATTCTATGAATTATGAAACAAAACCTTTTTTGTACAGCAATCATTCAAAGGAATCAGTAAGGTTTAGGCCACACAAAAAAAAAATTCTGGTTCAGACAATCCTTTGTACAAATTTGATGTGAGTGTGCGGCTTTTTTTTTTGTTTTTATTTTCTCAAAATCTTGTCTAGCCAGTTCTTCATTTTTATAAACTTACAAAATTATAAAACATAAAATAAGTAAGATTCTGATATAACGGTCAAATAATGCCTTGACTTCATCCAGGGAAAATGTTTTCAAATCCACCAGTATCGATACTGTTAAAGCATGGAATTTGCTTTGACTTAAAAACAAGTCTGTGCCCCATATCTCCCAACGGAGAATACTTTCGGTCATCTCTCTCAGAGTTATCAGTTATAGTTAGTTATTTTGAGTTATCAGTTATAGTTAGTTATTTTGAGTTACCAGTTATAGTTAGTTATTTTGATTATAAAAAATGAAAGATTGACAGCGAAATGTCGCCAATAACAAATTAACAATTCATTGTCCAGTGCTGTTCTTGATTATCAGTAGTCTTTCCCATGGTTACGTACTTGATATACGAGTCTATTGTTCAGTTCCTCTTTTCAAGACATACGAAAATGGATAAGTTAAGATAAAAAACATGTGACATGGTGGTATCAGAGAACCAGAAGATTTTTTTTGAGTGTGGCCTAAATTTAGTAATAATAATCGTGCTATGTTATTCCTACATGTACATGTAGGTGGTTGGATGGATGAATGGTTAGAGCGAGAGCGTTGTATCATAAGGTCTGTCATGGAGTCAACTTGCATGATTTCGATTCCCTGGTTGTACGCGGCAAGAAATAGGTTCGCCTGTCCAGACTCGTGGGTTTTCTTCGGGTCATCCTACTGCTAAAGACCTCTACCTACAAGCGAATTATTTAAATAAAATTGAACTATAGATGTATGTTAGTCCTGAAATAACCTGAGTGGACGTTAAACCCCATTTCTCTCTCTCTCTCTATTCCTACAAGCCTTTTTATAACCCAAGGCGATCTTACGCCTTGTTATGTACCACCAGGAAATCGAAACCACGCAAGTTGACTCAATGACAGACCTTATGGTGCAATGCGCACACACGCTAACCATTCGGCCATCCAACCCCCATATTATGAAATTCAATTACATATAGTTTGAAAATAACCCTTTAAAAGATTTTTTAGCTTAAATATTACAGTCAATAGGTGGCTTTATTGTTGCAAGTGGAGGACAAGCTGATCGTGTAAATTATGTGTTTACTGTTGTATTTACCATATTAGTATTATTATAATCTATTATATTAAAGATTTATTTATATCAACTAACAGTATATATGTATCTACATAAATACAAATTATACAATTCTATGTACAACAGATAAATAGTCAGTTATGTGTGGTTTTGTAAAGCATATATTTGGCAAAATAGATTTACATAAGTTTCTTGAATTATTAATATCTATATAAATACAAGTGATTCATTGCATCATAGAAATCTGTATACAATAGATAATAGTTACGCATGATTTTGTAATTGTAATGCATGTCATTGGCAAAATAGATTTACACAAAAGTTTCTTGAATAAAAGCTTGAAGAACCATTCCAAATTCCTGATTTTTAAATACAAATATACTCTTCAAAAAAAGTAGGTGATATTCAGAAACAATACAAAACTGCGGAAATGCACTGCTGTTTTAATTAGAGGTAACAAGCTTATGTTAATAACGGGCCAATTGCCTACACATTACGATTTGGGGCAATCTGACCCACTCCTCTTCACGGCCAATTCTTGTGTGTTGTCGGTTGACGTCGACTAACACGTTTCCCGATCATGTCGCAGACTAGCTGCAATTTTTAGCCAAGATAATTCTTATCTAAGGCTGCAATTGATACACTATTCGACTCTTTACCCAAGTAAAATAAGGTCCAGTTGCAAATTTTTCAACACATATCATCATAGTTTGCATGGATTGGAAATAAGTGATTATATGTTAAGCTATGAACAGTACAGTTTGGGGTCAGTGTAATTGGAAATTAAGGGAGTTATAGGCCAGTAACTTTTTTGTAGTCAAATGACTACAAAACTTGCGCAAAGGAAGGCCTTAGGAGAGTCCACTACTGTGGCTGGAGTAAGACCTAAGACATCAGACTAGTGGAACCATTTCTAGTCGCAGACGTGCCCTATAGGGGAAAGGTCAGGACTCATCACTGGCCAAGGCATATGACAATATAGTGACGTTGGAGGTAGTCATTCACGACACGAGCGCGGTGGGCACGTGTTACGGTCCAGGCGATTCCAGTCTTTCGCACGTCGTTTCCGACTGAGAGTGTCAAAAAATGAGACCAGCTCCCTTGTAGAGTTCACGCCCGAAACACATTTATATAACAATGTCATACATTACCATGTATCACAATATAATGCCCGATATCCATCTTGTCCTTTTCACATAATTATATTTATAACATTCCCGTTAGGCCGATGAATTGACACAAATCAGTTAGCGAAACAAGCGACATCAAACAGCTGGCGGCCATGACACTTTGGCGCGGTCAAGGCTATAACGTCGTTATTGTTAGTAACGCTCGCATTGATTGGTCGACAACTGACGTCATCGGAATCCCCTTATAAATAGAAGCAGACGACAATGAAATCCTCAGTATGCACTCGGGAAAGCTCCTTACGTAATTGGCAGCAATCCAGCTATTTCAATTTGGATATGGATCACCAAAAATGGGTAAGGAATTAATATCCTAGCTTTGGCTGTGGTAATTTATCCATAACTGGTCTCCTATTTAAAGACTCATAGGTTGGTTTAACCTTGACTGGCTTGATCCAAGATAGGCCTAGAATTAGTTGTGGTTCACCCATTCCCCCAAGTCTTACCAATTCCTTATGTCACCAAATCTCCGATTTAATCCCGTCATATCCACCGGCCTGACAGGGCAAATGTATTTATTTACCTCATTCCTGTTTCCATACCTGGGAATTTATCCAAAGGGTTGGCGTCTCACCCAAATTATCTCCCCTTAATGCGATGTATCACAAATAAATTGATCCAAATAAAGATGTTTATTTTTATCTACACCCGAGTTTGTTAGTTCTTTCGATTGAAGTGCTAGGCTGGAACGAACCCCTAAAAAGTCTCTAATAAATGTTGAGACGCTACACACGGGCATTATCATCTTGAATATTTACTGTTTATCAGTTTGCGAAACTTCCGGAAGTGATGATTTGATCCAAGGCCATAGTTTAGATCATGCCAACCGGACGTAGAATTATATCATCGTGGTTTCATTTTCATTTTTTGCCTCTCTTTTAATACTGTTCTAGTTGGGTTTAGGAAGATTACAAGACATTCCAGAATTAGCAACACTGAAAGTACATATCGAAAGAACGTTTGAGAAATTCTGTTTGGAAGTAAATTGGAGACACAAATTTGTAAAGGTGAGAATATTTATGAAACACGTGGTTAGTAAAAGGCTCAACCAAACGATAAAACATTATTTGCACTTACGGTTCTTTGATAATCATCGTTTCTCATAAAAGTTATATATTTATTTAAAACGAATAATATGCTGATGAATTTATTTGAAAATGACCTACACAAAAAACAAAATAAATATTTACACGACATGCAATCTTTTTTACAAGCCCCTAGAAATTGATAACGATAATCCGTGAGCTGCACGTTGACATTCTTGTCGTAGATGGCAATACCAATCGATAAATTAGTGCGTACAACATGGCTCGAAATGTTTGCCTGTCTACTTGTCGCCGACAGGTGATTTTTTCGTCTGACAGGTAGCAAATAAAACTACCTGTCGCTTGCGACAGGTGGACTAAATTTTACTTGATGTTCAGTAAATTGACCACAATACTCACGTCCACGTCACGGGCGCTATTGCACTTTCGTACCTCTACCAGTTCCCGTGGTCGTAGGCACTTGAAATTTTCAGAGGATGTTAAGGGGGGCTAGCAATGACCACACACCAAATTTCAGACGAATCGATAAATAACTTTTTATTTTACCGACCTTTTAATTTCTAACGAGAGAGAACTTCATCCGTTTGACGCCATTTGCTTTGTTTACTAATTAGACTTGAATAACAAGACACTAAGACGGAAACCGACTCGAATAACAAGACACTTAGACGGAAACCGACACACTGCACCAGCTGCCTAACACTGCAGTTCAAAAAAATTAATATAATTTTCGTATACTTTAATTTTTGCGCGAAGCCACCATTTTCTATAAAATACTATTTGGTGTTGATCAGTGGATTGGCCTTTAGGTGTAAATATTGCCGTGACCTTGATTTTGACCTTGAGGCCAAACTTCCCATCCATATCGGGGCCTTTGCGTTTATGCTTGCCGTGGCCTTATTTCTTACTGTATTATCAAAGTTAATGTTCGAGGTGAAAGCAGAGATGACGTCCTTCGGAAAAGATAGTTGGGTCAAAGTCGTAGGTCAAGGTCATGTTACAGAAAACTAAACTCAAACTTTTCAAAGTCATTTTTGGGACATTTGACCTTGACTTACGACCTTGACCCCGTAACCATTTTCGAAGGCTATCACCTTGGCTTGAATCATGGACGTTTACCTTGGTTCTGTCACACACTGCTCGGTCAGAAAAGGGTCAAACGGAGAGGGGCCCGTGTCCGAAAGAAGTCAATGGGCGTGGTCAATGTGTAAGGTCGTGGTGACCTCCACTAGTCACCTTTAACCATCCGTGACCTTGACTTTGACCTTGAGTCCAAACTTCCTATTCATCTCGGGCCCTTTTCGTTTATGCTTGCCGTGACCCTATTTCTAACTGTATTATCAAAGTTAATGCTTGAGGTGAAAGCAAAGACAACGTCCTTCAGAAAAGTTAAAAAGGTCAAAGTCGTAGGTCAAGGTCATGTTACAGAAAACTAAACTCAAACTTTTCAAAGTCAGTTTTGGGACAGGGCCAGGGTAAGCGTCAATGGTTCAAGCCAAAATCGTTACGGGTCAAGCTCGTAAGTCAAGGTCAAATGTCCCAAAACTGACCTTGAAAAGTTTGAGTTCAGTTTTCTATAACATGACCTTGACCCAATTATCTTTTCTGAGGGACGTTGTCTTTGATTTCACCTCAAGCATTAACTTTGATAATACAGTAAGAAATAGGGTCACAGCAAGCATAAACGAAAAGGGCCCGAGATTGATGGGAAGTTTGGACTCAAGGTCGAAGTCAAGGTCACGGATGGTTAAAGGTGACTAGTGGAGGTCACCACGAACTTTCACATTGACCACGCCCTTTGACGTCCTTTCGGACACGGGCCCCTCTGCGTTTGACCGTTTTCTGACCGAGCAGTGTGCGACAGGGCCAGGGTAAACGTCGATGGTTCATACCTACATGTATGGATATGTGTGATGTGATTATTCTTTGAGTTTGATAATTGAGAGTGACAGGTTATTTACTGAAGCGACAGGTTATTTACTGAAGCGACAGGTATGAAGAAAAGCTACCTGTCGCTTGCGACATGTAGCTTTTTTTTAAACATTTCGAGGCCTGGCGTACAAGGCAAAGTTTTTTGGTGGAAAATATAAGAAATGGCAACGTTCAAAGCGGAATAATTAAAGCTGATTAACCGATAATCCCGATGTTATTGCAGTATGTTCAAAGAAACCTAACCGTTCTTTGGTGGAAAACGTCAGTTGTCAATCATCGAGAATGGCGGCCGTGTGTTGATTGCAGTTATACCGTTTCACGAAAAAACATTAGCAGTGGTCGGTCAATCAAGCTCGTTTACTATTTGATAAAAGAAAAACAACGAAGTATTACTAAATATACACAAATTTTCAACAATATTTTTTATTGTCAAGTTTTATACTCGCAACCAGACAAAGGAGAAGTTTTATCCTCGCAGATAAAACAAAACAAAAGAGAAGATTTATCCTCGCAGATAAAACAAAACAAAAGAGAAGATTTATACTCGCAGATAAAACAAAACAAAAGAGAAGATTTATACTCGCAGATAAAACAAAACAAAAGAGAAGATTTATACTCGCAGATAAAACAAAACAAAAGAGAAGATTTATACTCGCAGATAAAACAAAACAAAAGAGAACTAGCAGTGTTAATCGCGGTCTCAACAATCGCCGATCAACTAAATAAAACGAAAGACAACTAAGACAGCTGTTACTATATCTCATAAATAAATAGTCCCAACTGTCGTTTGTATTGAGTCCCAAATGTCGTTTGTGTTGAGTCCCAATTGACGCCAATCAAGTCCCAAACGTCGTCAACTAAGTCCCAAATGTCGTTTATGTTGAGTCCCAAATGACGTGAGTCCCAAATGACGTGATACCATCCAGACAACTTGGACCAAAGACCACTCGACCCAAGACTAAACGGACCAAAAAAGAGACCCATTTGGACCAAAATAGAGACTACTCGGACCAATTAATCTATATTGTAAGTCGAATGTAAGACCACTCGGGCCGATTGATGTTCAATCTAGTCGAATTGGTAAAACAATAAACCGGCCACTAGTAGGGTATCATAAATCAATCTACTTTCGGCTAAATTACAACAGGTTAATTATTACCTGTAAATTTCAAGTCTCTACCATCACAGGAACTGGTAGAGGTACATTACTGAAATAATACCTTCCAGGTAGATATTAAGATAATAATAGCTGGTAAGTTGGACAATACATTGATTGATTCACTGACGAGTTGTTAGCTAAAATTTAAATCTTCATTGAATATAATGCAATGATAGAACATTGCATACACCGTCAAAAAACAGCCGATTAAGAACAATGATTCCAACTGTACTATCTGACAACGTATAGTCTGGTTGTTCACCAAGATGGCAGCAGCCAATGTGTGTGAGGTCATGTGAATTAACTCTTAACAACATATTTATTTGATTTAATAATAAATAAATAACAAAATATTTATTGTCTGTATTTTATTTTTTATTGGTCCGAGTGGTCCTTTGGGTTGGTCTGAGTAGCAAAGCTAAATATTGGTCCGAGTGGTCTTACAATATAGATTAATTGGTCCGAGTGGTCTCTATTTTGGTCCAAGTGGTCTTCTTTTTGGTCTGTCTGGTCTTGGTTCTAGTGGTCTTTGGTCCAAGTGGTCTTTGGTCCGGGTTGTCTGGAAAACCCTAAAAAAAAACTAAAAATAAGTTTTATGGTGATAGAATATTTGGTCAATATGCTCCTAATCTATGGAACCCTCTACCTCCTGAAATGAAATAAATACGATTAGAAACTAATAGGCCCACTCATGTTATAAAATTCACAATTAAAATAATCCTTTTAAACAACGTTTTGATCTTTTTGTCCCCCGCCTTTCGAAGAAAGCAGGCGACTATTAAAATGGGTTCGTCTGTCCCGTCATACTTTTTGGGACACAATAACTCTCTTTCTAATTGAGCTAGAATGTTCAAACACGGTGTAGGGGTTTATTACGTAAATGCCTTAATGGAGTTCGAAGATGAGCATTTTCTGCTTAGGGTAAGCAGAGATAAGGAATGTGATTGGTTGATGCTTTGGGACACAATAACTTTAGTTCTGATTAAGTGAGAGTGATGAAACTTGGTGTATAGTTTCATTACATCAATACCTTGACTAAGTTCGATAATGAGCATTTTCTGCTCAGGGTAAGTAGAGCGATGAGCAATTTGATTGGTCGAGATGTTGGAACACAATAACTCTCATTCTAAATGATGTAGAATGTTCAACTTTGGTGTAGGCTTTCATTAGGTGAATGCCTTGATTGAGTTCTATGATGAACATTGTATGCTTACTGTAAGCAGAGATAAGCAATCTGACTGGTTGATTGCTTTGTTGCACGATAACTTTGGTTATAATGAAGTGAGAGTGATGGAAATAGATTCATTATATCATTACCTTGACTAAGTTCGATGGTGAGAATTTTCTGCTTAGGCTAAGGAGCGATAAGCAATTTGATTGGTCAAGACTCTGGAACATAACAACTCTGCTTTTAATTGAGGTAGAATGTTTAAACTTGATGTAGATGTTCATCAGGTGAATGTCTTGACTAAGTTCAATGATTAACATTTCAAGCTGAAGCTAAGCAGAGCTAATCAATATCATTTGGTTGATGCTTTGGGGCAAGATAATTTTGATTCTATTTGATAGAGTGATGAAACTTAGTGTATAGTTTGATTGCTCGATACTTTTGAAAAAAATAATGTGCTATTAATTAATGTGTCATCTATTTATTTTGGGATTTCGGCGGGGGACATCAGCCTCTCTGTTGGCTTATTTCTTGCACTAATCTCTTCTTTATGTTACATTTAGCAGATTTGGCTCTTGCATAATGTATGTTGAATGGTAGGGTGGGGGTGGATAGCTTAATGGTTAGTGTGTGCGTGCTGTGTCATAAGGTCTTGTCATTGAGTCAACTGGTGTGGTTTCGATTCGCCAGTTGTACGTGACAAGGAGTAGGGTCGCCTGTCCAATCTCATGGGTTTTCTCCAGGTCCTCAGGTTATCTCCCACTGCTAAAGACCCCTACGCACAACGAACTATTGAAATAAAATTGAACCATATGTTAGTCCTGAAATGGCCTAGTTTGTGTGGAGGGCACTTAAATCCCCTCTCTCTCTCTCTCTCTCTCTCTCTCTCTCTTTCTTTAATGGTAATTTATTTTAATAATTATTTTTTTTATTATTATTGTAAAGGGTGTTGAGATTTTATACCATTTTTATGTCACTACTGTATGTAATGCTGTATAAGAATAAACAATAATATTATTATTATCTGGTTGACGAGTCAATCAAGACTTGTGGACAACTTAAGTTTACATGTAGACGAGTTAACTAGTTTCCTTTTGTCACGACCCCAAGAATGAAGACAGTATGTAGATTAATATATTTGTTTGATCTAGGCTCAGGGGCCCATGGTGGCTAAGTGGGTACGACGCTGGCTCGCTAGCCTGGAGTTTGTGTGTTCGATCCATGTATTGGCCGAGAAAGTTCATTGGGATTTTCTGACATGGTTTCCCCTTGTTAGTGGTGCAAGATGGAGCTGTCTAGTCATTCGAATGGGACAAAAAAAAACCTGAGGCCCAGTGTATACATTGTCATGCACATAAAAGATCCCTTGGTACAGTAGTTGGAATTTGATATAAGAGTAGGCCAAAGTGCCGCTGCCCGGGCAAAATTTCCCTAATAGCACACTGTATGGTGTATGCCTGTCTTCATTAGCCCAGTATTGGAGCAGAACAGTAGGACGTTAAAATTCATTTCATTTGATCCAGGCCAAAAAAAAGTTTAGCCCTAAATCATATTAGTCTGTCATATATGTATGGTAATTGGTAAGTGTCTCTCCCAAACTCTAAAGAAAGTTGGGGGGTTGGATGGCTGAATGGTTAGCGTGCGCGCGCTGTATCATAAAGTCTGTCATTGAGTCGACTGGCGTGGTTTAGAATCCCCGGTTGTACGTGGCAAAGAGTAGGGTCGTCTGTCCAACCTCGTGGGTTTCTCCGGGTCCTCCGGTTTCCTCCCACTGCTAAAGACCCCTATGCACAAGCGAATTATGTAAATGAAATTAAAACCATACGTTAGTCTCGAAATGACCTAGTTTGTGTCGAGTGGACGTTAAACCCCATTTCTCTCTCTCTAAAGAAAGTTAATTTAAAAACAAACTGTAAAAGATCAATTTTGTTAGAATATTTTTATCTCCTATTTTTTTTTGCAGCTCACCATGCCTAATAAGAAGAAAACAAGAAAAACTGGAGATAGAAAATACAAGTGTGATGTTTGTGGTAAATTCTGGGTTAGTCCTTCACAACTAGAAACACACATGAGATACCATACTGGCGAAAAACCATTTCGATGTGATGTTTGCGACAGACAGTTTAAGCAGAAGCAGTGTCTAATAGATCACATGAGAATTCATACTGGGAAAGAAGCTTATAAACCCCATGGATGTGATATATGTGATCAATCATTTGTTAAAGCTTATAGGTTAATGATTCACATTCGAACGCATACCGGGGAAAAATTATACAGATGTGATGTTTGTAGGAAATCATTTACCGTGCGAGGTCAACTTCAAAGACACATGAGAGTCCATACGGGAGAACGGCCATATAAATGTGATGTTTGTAGTAAATCATTTGCACACAAAGAAATTCTTGTAAATCATATTAAAATCCATACCGGCGAAAAACCATTTGATTGTGATGTTTGCAGGAAATCATTTATAAACAAAACTGCTTTACGAGCACACAGAGTGGTCCATACCGGAGAAAGATTACATAAATGTGACGTTTGCAGTAAATCGTTTTCCTCTTTAAGTAATCTTATCACTCATAAAAAACTTCACAAGGGTGATAAACCTTTTGAGTGTGATCTTTGTGGTAAATCATTTGCCACCAAAAGTGTCTTACAGCAACACGGCTCAACTCATACATCAGAAAGAAACCACAAATGTGAATCATGTGGGAAAGGATTTAAAACAAAATCTCATTTAAAGATCCATACCCTGATACACTCCAGTACACAGGCATATGTTTATTGTGACGTGTGTAACAAGCCGTTCAAAAAGAAGGCTGGTCTGAAAAGACACATTTTAATCCACACTGAAGGTAAAAACTTTAAATGTGAACTCTGTGCTCAAACATTTTTATATAAAAGCAATCTACAACGACATATGATAACTCACACAGGGCTGAAACTTTATAAATGTGATGTTTGCGATAAATCATTCACGACTGCAAGTACTCGTACAATTCATAAAAGAAGCCACACGGGGGAAAAGCCATACAAATGTGATATATGTGGACATGGATTTCGTGATAGCGGAACTTTAACAAGGCATGTAAAAAGAATTCATCGAGGAGAAAAATCAGTTTGCGATGTTTGTGGTAAAGCTTATTCAGATCTTAATAAACACAGAAAAATTCATACTGGGCGAAAACCATTTAAATGTACAGTCTGTGACAAATCATTCACCTGGTCCAATGTTTTAATTCAGCACATGAGAATTCACACCGGAGAAAAATCCTGGCCATGTAATATTTGTAATAAATATTTTTCTACAAATTACCATTTACGTACCCACATGAGAACACATTCCGGTGAAAAACCTTTTATATGTAATGTTTGTGGTGCAGCTTTTGCAAATAGTAGTAATTTCCGATCCCACAAAAAGATTCATAATGGTGATAAACTTCACAAATGTGATCTTTGCAGTAAAAAATTTCTGTTTGCCACATATTTAAGAAAGCACATCCGAAAAGTTCATGATAGTGAAAAATCATACAAGTGTGATGCATGTGGTAAAGGGTTTTTTGCAAACCAGGAGTTAAAAATTCACCTCAGAAAACATACTGGTGATAAACCATTTGAATGTGATATTTGTCATAAATGTTTTGCTAGTAATAGTATCCTAGGAGCTCATTTAAAAACCCACACACGTCATGGCCAGAAGCTACATAAATGTGATGTTTGTAGTAAATCATTTATTATCGCCAGTGCTTTGCGAAAACACATTAGAATTGCTCATGATGGAGAACAAAGTTATAAGTGTGATGCCTGTGGAGAAGAGCTTTTTAGTAAAGCTGATATTCAGAATCACCTGGCAACACATAGTGGTGGGAAACCTTTTGGATGTGATGTTTGTGGCACAGTTTTTGTTGGTTATAGTGATCTACAAGCACACAAACAGACTCATAATGGACAAAAACTTCATAAATGTGATGTTTGTAGTAAAGCATTTGTTATTGGCAGTGTTTTAAGGAAACACATCAGAATAGTTCATGATAGAGAGAAAACTTATAACTGTTATGAATGTAGCAACAGATTTTTTAGTAAATCAGATTTAGACAGACATCTTGAAACACATACTGATGAATGAAGGATTATAGTGAAACGTTTAGCTATGTATTGTTTAATTGTCGAGATGAATGTAGCAATCCTTTTTTTAGTAAATCAGATTTAGACAGACATCTTGAAATACATAGTAACATACTGATGAATGATGGATTGTAAAGAAAATATTTAGCTATATAAAAACAGAACAGCTTGATAAAGTTGAGAGACTAATCTTGTAAATGTCGCTCAAATAAATTAGTATTGTAGTTTTCCATAAGTATGTGTTATACAAATGTAGTTTATTGCTTGATCCAGTTATTAAATAGCTCTAAAAGATAATAAAAAGGGAATTGTTACTCGTAGAATTTTATGTAAAGATACTAAGTGTATAACAGTGTACATTCGCATATATTGATAGCCTGGTAGTACAAGGGTCAAATCCGGCATGTAGTCGGTTGGTGTCGCCACAGCATGCGCAATTTGGTGATTGAGCACCCGATTGAGCGCATTATGTTGGTAATCAACTCATTCTTTGTCTGGTTGAATGATTGGACGTAGTGTAGTGGCTACCTTGTTGGGATAACGGTGCCACTGTTCGAAGGTACCAAAGGAAATTGGCATATTGCTGTTGTTCAGTATTACTTTACGAAATGGGTGGTGGCCATCCCAATTCCAGATTTTGGAGCTGTTACAGTTGAAGATGCGTTAATGACGTTTATCTGCAGTTTCGGTGTTCCTTGCAGCATCCGTTCAGACCAATGAAATCAAATTAAATGGGGTTTAAAGTCCTACTGTTCTGCTCCGACTGGGCTAATGAAGACTGGCATATGCCATACAGTGTGCTATGAAGGAAATTTTACCCGGGCAGCGACACTATGTCCTACTCTTATATTGAATTCCAACTGCCAAGGAATCTTTAACGTGTATTCTAATGTATTCACCACTGACAAGGCTGAACCGTGTCGGAAAATCAGGATGAACTTTCTCCGCAACATTCAGACCAGGGTGCCCACCTAACATTCCCATGATGGGTAGAGACAAGGCTCGCGACAGTACCCTCTGAGCCCTGGGACATGTATCTGGGCATTGGACGGGGGTGGGTGGGGGGCCGTTGGGTTTCTCTCTACCAGGGCTCGAAAATTTTTGAAAGATACATGATCTCTAACATCATTTTGTCAGATCCCTGGGGTTACTTGGAGGTCATTTTGCTAAAACACAGTAACTAAGACAGGCCAGGCAGGTAGCTTATAGTTTTTAATTCACCAATTTTTCCAAAAAAAAGTGGCCTGACAGGATTTGCTTCTAACACTACCCGCATCACTAGGATACCCATCGATTTTACGATCAAGTAACTGCATATTCTTTTTCTATTAATTTATATCAACAATTTTTTTTAAAACATTACTCAACATACCCCCTAGCCCCTCTATTTACTGGGAAAAGAAAAGAGTGTCATCCTTCCAGAGGGAGATAATAGTATTGTTGCTCAAAATTTCAGTGATTATTTCATTGATAAAATCGATAAGATTCGTCATGGCATGGGCTTGGCTCTATTAACACACAGGGGTGTGATGACAAAAGGTCTGAAGTTCCATCAATTCAATTTGATTCCTTTAATCCAGTTTCATCTGAGGAGATAAGGAAGATAATCTTGTTAAACCCAACCACAATAGTCGGCCTACAACAAAATAAAAAGTGTTTACGATGGCTGAAATTTCATTTCCGACTGGCATTATCTAAATTTTAGCCTTGGATCTAATCATTTGCAAGTTGATCCACAGTAAACATTTGTTTTGCCTCTGTTTGACAAAGTGTATGTTTTAAAGTACATCATTCTCAACCATCAAATCAACAGTAAGTAACAACGCAGTAGTAAATATGAAAGAGGGTAAACATGGGTCAGTAGGCCTAACTAGTGTGGGTGTATGGCTATTTGCCACATATGGTAAGACAATTCGGATTTGCCCTTATGTGGCATGTCTCCGTACCACAATTATTAACCGATTTCTATGAAACTTACAGATCACAATAACATTAATAATATCTTAGAGTAGCCCAAATTTCGATAACTTCCGGTTAACAGTTTCAAAGACATCGAATTGCCACAAATTTCATGTGGCACGACTGCAGGCCGCAATTACCAACCGATTTTTTTATGAAACTTTCAGATTACATTAATAATATCTCAGGGTAGACAAAGTTTCGGCCACTTCTGGTTAGCGGTTTCCGGGATATCAGGTTACCACACATTTCATGTGGCACGGCTACAGACCGCAATTACAACCGATTCGAATGAAAATGCAGATTATAATTACATTAATAATATCTCAGAGTAGGCAAAGTTTCGGTCACTTCTGGTTAGCAGTTTCCGGGATATCAGGTTACCACATATTTCATGTGCGCGACTACAGACCACAATTATCAACCGATAATCATGAAACATACAGAATATGATAACATTAATAATATCTCAGAGTAGCCAAAATTTAGACCACTTCCGGTTAATGGTTTCTGAAATATCGGATTACCACACATTTCATGTGGCACGGTTGATGACAGCAATTACCAACCGATTTCAATGAAACTTGCAGATTATAATAACATTAATAATATTTCAGAGTAAGCAAAGTTTCGGTCACTTCCAATTAGCGATTTCAATAAAACTTGCAGATTATAATTACATTGACAAGTTTCGGTCACTTCTGGTTAGCTTTTTTTGAGATATCAGGTTACCATACATTTCATGTGGCACGACTGCAGGCTTCAATTAAAAACCAATTTCAATATATTTAAAAATATCCTTTAAAAACTACAACCTCTATCTTGTTCACATTGTTTTCGGAAATGAGGACTTAAATTGGACCAAAAAGTCACGGAACACTGAAAATCGATAGGGTTTATCCTCTCATGACCCTAATGCTGCTCACTAAATTTGGTATAAAACAGGTCAAAAACTGTTGCTGTAGCCTGTAACTAAAGCCTTCAAAAGATTTTACCCAAAAGGGGGGGGGGGGGGTAATATTGATCTATCGTGACATTATGAAAGATCAATATTGTGATAATATTTTGATATTTCATGCAAGAAAAACAATATTACGGATATGACTTTCCATCATTTTCTTATAAACTTCATGAATAACCAAGTTTATATACTCTTCAAAAAAAGTAGGGGATATTGAAATGGAAATACCTATGCAGGGTGTATATGATAAATAGTCATGGACACTTGACATGTTTTGAGAGTATGTTCACAGATGAAGAACTTATCGCCCCAACAGAACCACTGAGCTGCACATGACACACAATAGTGCCATACACGTGGGAGGGGTTCTCATTGTCAAATTTGACATTTCAAGGAAGGGTTGATGAAAACTGCCGCGTGCTGGTTTGCTTTCCTATCGGTTCTTGCATAAGATTTACTGTCTAGTGTATCTTTGCTTTAGTGTGTTACTTTTAATTTGATCGGTAGAGGAGTGGGTCAGGTTTCCTCAAATCGTGATTGGACGGTTGATTAGAAGCATGCCACAGCGAATTGCTGAATATCTGAGGATTGGTGGATAATTACTCATTATTAAGACAAAAATCAAAAACGTCCATTTTTACTTTTGACGGTGTATCTCTTTATTAGTGAAATGGGGCCGTCAGATAAGCCATCCATATGAACTGTTTATGTTCATGTGTAGGCAATTGGCCTGTTATTAACATACACTGGTTACCTCTAATAAAAACAGCAGTGCATTTCCGCAGTTTTGTGTTGTTTCTGAATATCACCCTACTTTTTTTTGAAGAGCATAATCTAGGTCAAGAAGGAGCATAATATCGTCTGATATAGAGGAAAATATTTTGGCAAATATTCAACAGAGCCCAACATTAGGCATCATGCTAGATGAAAGTACAGATTTGTTCAGTGAAAAACATTTGATATTGTACATAAACTATATTAACGACGGTATGTGCTAGACAGCATTTTCAAAACTTATTGAAGTACACTGCGCTGCAGCAGAGTCTCTAACAAAGAATATTCTTGCTTTTTTAAATGTGGACATAATTGATGTAAATAAAAAGTTTGGGATGGACTCTGATGGGGGTGCAGTTATGATAGGCAAAAAGGCGGGTGTTGCTGCTTTAATGAAAAAACAAAACCAATATTTGATAGAAATGCACTGTGTTGTCCACCGACTTGCTCTTGCTATTGTTGATTTAGCCAAGCACAGTCCCAATATCAATTTTTATGAAACGACACTGAGTAATATAACAACCTACTTCAGAAGATCCCCAAAAAACTTGTCCCAGTTAAGAGTATGGCAGGAGATTTTAGACGAACCTAAAGTGAAGCCGTCAGAAGTCCATCGTGTGTGCTGGCTATCAATGACTAACGCAGTTGAAAATATCGCAAAAACAATATGCCTTCTCTGTTGAAAGTTGTAATAGACGAATCCCACAGAGACATAAATGCCCGGTCCATAGATAATACCATCTGTTCATACAAGATGACACCTCATGGAGATGGGTCGTGTTTTGCCCGTTAGCAGCGTTGACTGCGAGTGGGGCTTCTCACGCCAGAACGTAATAAAAACCAAGTTACGATGTTCCTTGAGCATGAAAACTCTTGACGAATTAATGAGGATTTCTATGGAGGGACGGCCACTTGAAGAATTTCAAACAGCACATGCTTTTACAGATTGGTAGTCCCGTAAAAACCGATGAGTATATACGGGTGATGTTGTAAACAAATTAGGAAAATAGTGTACTTCCGATGAATGAATGTAGGCCTATCTTGTTATTGTTACATTTTATGAATGTATAAATAAATAAATGATGATAATTGATTACATGTGTTCTTTTATTTTTTTGGAGGGTTGGATGGCCGAATGGTTAGCACCTGCGCGCAGTATCATAACTATGACATAAGGCCTGTCATTGAGTCAACTGGCGTGGTTTCGAATCCCCAGTTGTAAGGGACAAGGAGTAGGGTCGTCTGTCCAACCTCGTGGGTTTTCTCCGGTTTTCTTCCCACTGCTAAAGACCCCTACGCGCAAGCGAATTATTGAAATAAAATTAAACCATATTTTAGTCCCGAAATGACCTAGTTTGTGTCGAGCTCGTTAAACCCCATTTCTCTCCCTCTATTAGGGGGGGGGGGGTATAAATGACGATGTGAGATCTCAAAATAAGTGCAGTCACTGCAGTTGGTCTCAAAATTATGCATCGGCGACTGACGAAATGAATTAATGAGGTAAACAAACAATGCCAGAATATAAGGGAAAATCTCAAATATTTAATATATGTGCACCTGAATTTCTTACGTCACATAGTCAGTCTCAAAATAGGCACTAACTGCAGGCGGTCTCAGACT